GAAGGGAGCGACGTGTTTCATCAGGACAGAAAACGGCTCCGGCCCCAGCCTCTCCAAAACACCACCGCTCCCGGCCCCCTCACCCCCTCGGAAAGAGCAGAACTAGCAGATCTGCGAGCAGGGCGCCCGGCGCCTGAACCTGCCCCTCCCCGGGGCGGCTTGAGCCAACCCTGACCTCTGGTCTCGCTTCCCCAGGCAGAGCGGTCTGTGCGCGTCCCTTTTGTCTGCCCCGAGTTTGTCTACGGTCTATCTGTTACTGTTTCTTGGTTGTTTTGGTGTTTGCTTGGTTTTTTTTTTAATTATTGCCTTTTTTTTTTTCCTCCTGGATGTGACTTCTATGTGTAAAGGTGCGGAAAAAAAGAAAAAGAGTTTTTAAGTACTGCCCTCCCCTTCCCCTTCTCTCGGGCTTTTTCATTATTTAGAGGACGAGCACTGAAACAAATCACATTGACCATTTAGAAAGCGATCAAACCTTTATAAAAATCCATCGCCTACGAATCGATTGGTGAATATTTGCTAGGAATTTGTTCAAAAGAAATAAATAAGGAGGGTAAGTGTATTAAATGCAAAGGGGGAACACGGTGGTGTTTTTCTTCATTGATTAATGACCTCTAAAATAAAACAAGCGGGAAGAGGAGCCAAAATCGATAAATTAACTACCCAAATTCATCATTTTCCCTGCGATTTTTTTTCTTTTTTTTTTTTTTTTGTTATTTTGTAAATAACCCTTAGGAAGGATGCCCGTCTCTTTGGAAACTCGAAGGTTTTATTTTAGGCCGGGGGTAGAAAAGGGAGCTAAACCCCTTTTAGGAAGGGATTGAATCGGGGACACCCTATCTGATTTCGTTTGACACACAATTAAAAAGTTTGCCTTTCATATTAATTAATTCTCCTGATCTGGGGAAGACAAATGGTCGGTTACCTCTGACAGGAGTCCGATAAAGGATTCAGCAGCTTTCCTTCTTGCCCTAGGCGTCTCCTCATTCCAGTTTTAAGGTCATGAGCGGCTGAGTTAATAATTCATTAATATAGACATTTATTCAGATGGGATTCACGGGGATTCGCGCTCTCCTACATCTCACCGTTTGGATTTAGTTTCCCTCGAAGAGAAGAAGAGGGGGAGGAGAAGGGATGGAGGAAGGCTCTACATAACGCACGGACCTGCTTCTACGCACGTGGTTAAAACGTGGCACCCCCAGCGAGAGCCCGCCTGGGCCAGGTCAGCCTACCCGCCAGAGCCCCGCACGGCCGGGCGGCCCCAGC